GACTTGCTCCCCCAGAGAAAGTCACCGAGAGCTCTCCCTACACGTGCTCCAGGGCGGCATCCATCACTCAGGCCAGAATCAAGGGATACGTCTAAAACGACAAAAATCTGTGTGTGCGTGAAGCCAGTTTTGGGTACAACTATCTTGAAGGAAGTTAGGTGTACAGAGGAAATCCAATGGGTTAGGAAATTCTCAAGCACTTTCAATTCATAATTTTTCTGGGAGATAAGAGCTTTTCTATGAAGTGAACACTGAAGAGAAAAAGACACTGTAGCCTCTAAAAAAAAAGTCTAAGAAGCCTCACATAAAAGTTAAACCTAAAAACCAGAGTGAGATCATCAAAAAATCTGCTTGCATGTATTCTATTTGCTCTAGAGTAAAAGAAAAACACTCTGGCATTTATTACTTAAACCTATTCTACACTTACTACTGTCTGAAATGTTTTAAAAGTTTTCAAAACTAACTATCAGATGCTAGCACCAGATGGTATCATTTTTCCCTGTAACTGCCCCCAATTTTGAACTCAGATGTGACTGAGAAGTCCAATATGTGAAATGAAGTCACGAGTTTTAGGGGAAAACAGAGTCACAGAAATGCCAGGCAAATTAAAAATATTTATACAACTGGTTCTATAAAATGCCAGGCAAATTAAAAATATTTATACAACTGGTTCCGTAAAATGCCAGGCAAATTAAAAATATTTATACAACTGGTTCTTTATTCTATAAGTAAATTTGGAGAAATTAAGTTCGATACCTCTGTTAGCATAACAAAATACTTTTATTCTTCCAAGAAATATGGATGCCTCATACGATGAATCAAAATTTAATGCTGATTTCCATGTCCTCATCATTTAAAAAATTATCCTAATTCAAAAAGTATCGGGAATGTTTTTCTAAGAAGACACTACCCTGTCTGGGAAAGAGGGAAGAAACACTTACTTGAATCTGCTTTGAAAGGGTCTGGGTATGTTTCTTTATTTTAGTCTACAGTGAGAAAATATTTGGGGCAAAGAATGTTTAAGATTGTTCCCTCAGTAGGAACGGTTTTTAATGCAGTTTTCTTGAGAATGCTAAGGAGAAACGTAAACGTCTTATAAAAGCAGTGCATCTTTTGCAGACAACACACTCAACTGCCAAGTCAAGCTAATTACCCTGCCAACATCTTAAAGTGAACAATATTTTAGCAGCTAAAAGCTGGCGAACGCCCCCCAGGGAGGCACTGGGGACGAAAGGGGGTTGCCCCTGAGGGGCTGTGGAATCACCCTGGTCCTCAGGCACTGGCCTCAGCCTTGGGGAAGGGCAGAGAACCCAAGCGATATCCCCAAACCCGCAGCACGTTTGCAGAAGGTTTAGAAACAGGTTCGAAGAATAAATTCTAACGCAGAAAACACGGAAGGCTGCCAGCTTCCCAAGGCCTGTCCCGAATGCTGCACCAGACAGAGTTCTGCAAGGAGACAGGCGAAGACACCAATCCCATCATGGAAAGGCCCTGCAGCGCAGGTGATAGTGACACAAACGGGCCACAAGGCGGCGCCATTTCCATGTCAGCGTCTGGATGCCTGGGACTGACGGGTCTCCCCTCTCCGATTCTGGGGGACGAACTTCAAGAACTAAGAGAGTTAACAGTTTTTTAATAGACTTTTTTTTTTTAACAGAAAGGAGAGTAAGAAAAAGAAAACAGAACATAATCAACTTCTTTGCTGGTGTCTCCCATGCCCTCTCACCCCTTTGAGATAACAGTCGGGTGGAAGGGAAGCGCAGGCCTGGCCGGCTGAGGGGAGGGCACGCGGGCACCACGGCGAACACGCCCAGTGTGCCAGCGGGGAGGGAGCAGGGGAGGCTGGGAGGGCAGGTCTCAGAAGGCAGAATCTGGCTCCTTCTGAGTAATAACAAAGCTCTGTAAAAGTAAAATGTATTTTTACGTTCCTAACGTACTTGAAAGTTCTTAGACATTAACAATAACTTTGTTAATATAATCTTCACATTATATTTTAAGTTTCAAATGTTTAAAATTTGGTGCTTATAAAAAATAATGCTCAAAAAGGCACTGTTCTCTGAGTCGCCCAAAGAAAACACACGCTGCAGCCCGAATCACCCAAGTCTGCTGAAGACGGCAGGTGGTGTCAGTGGAATCGGGCCTGCGCTTCGGCGGGGCGTTTGGAACGCGGAGGCTCTGCTGTACAATTTTAACTGCACTGCACACTTTATATACAACACGTACCATTAGTGATGGCATAAAATGTCTTTTTTCAGTTGATTCAAACTGCAGAAAGAGCAAGAACTGTTTGCCCAGGGAACTGACTGGAGCCTTGAATGTAGGGGGTGCCATGCTGCCCTCTAGTGTCACTTTAGCTACAAAACCCTGAAAACAGAATCAAATTTTGCTTTTAAATGTTACTGAAATCAGTTTAGATTGAGAAGCACACCGTAATACACAAAAGCAACCATCTTTACTTTATGTACTCAAACTGCTCTCGATGGAACACACAGGGGTCTTTACACACTGACACTGCCCTCAATAGAGCACACAGGGGTCTTTCCACACTGACACTGCCGTTGATGGAGCACACAGGGGTCTTTACACACTGACACTGCCCTTGATGGAGCACACAGGGAAGGTTGGTCCAGAGACCATGAACCTCTCACAACAAAGCCAGTGGGAGGTGCACTGAGATTTCCCGGCTCGCTGCAGAACCTCTTTTAATTTTCAGGACATATAATGAAAGCCTTCTCCAGTGCTACTTTGATACCCTGCCTCCCCAAGTGACAAGGGACACATAGAAATGACACAGTTTAGATGCCTGTCCAACAAAATGGGTCTTCAGACAAGAGCCTTAACACAGAGCCCCTTGGGAACATCCCAGTGCCACTCGGTAAGCTCCACTGCACGCCGCCAGCAGCCCCGAGGAGAAACCCAGGAGAGCGGTGGGGGGTTAAACCGCTTGACACTGTTTAACCACCCACCGCTGCGGCTCGACACTGCGGCTCATCACGACACCAGGCACACGGAACATATTTCTTTAAAAGCCGTTCACTCCAAGATGGCTCAAACCCAAATCTGCCTCATACTGTTGGTCAAAGAATAACTAGAAACTAATCTAGCCCACCGGGTAGGCGGAAAATCCCGACACGGCACTCGTGATTTCACGTCGGGTCACTTTCCCAGCCTCACAGCACGTGAAGGTTCACATTCTGGTGTGAACCGTGAAGGTTCACATTCTGGTGTGAACCGTGAAGATAACATCGTAGTGGCTCCTGGACAGCCCTGACGTCAGAGCTCCCACAGTGACGGGGAACCGGGACAGGAGGGCTGGGCTGCCCCTGCCAACCTCGAAGCCTCATGCCACAGACGTCTCAACTCGAGGCTTGTCAACAGGAATAAAACTTGTTAAAAATTCTCCCCAAAGTGGAAAGGACATACTTGATTACCTTAAAGTTGATGATAAACTCCTGAAAAGATTCTCCCATCTGATTAACACATAATTAAAATATGCAACAAAATATGCAACTCTCATTCTGAGAGTAAGATTAAAGAATATAAGTATCACGTATAACAATCATATACTAATTCTTGTAATTTTTTTACTGTGTAATCTTACGAAAAATTTCTACTCTTTTCCCAGTATGATCATTGTGATCAATGAATTCTTTACACATATTGAAGAATTCCTTCCTCATCAGACTGAGACTCATTTCTAAAGGAACTATGTGTTATTCAGTGCTTACTAAATATCAAGTACACGCTCTTTTACTATTTTAAAAAAGAATCTCCATGACTTTAGTCTTCAAAAAACACCAACGTATAATTCTGTATATTGACCACTGATTTTGTAACTCAGTTTCTATGATTCAGTTGTTGACAGTAATTTAATTAGGCATATTTGTAGATATCATGGAATAGCCACCCACTTCACAGTGAAATGAAGTTGTACGCATTGTCCATTCAGCATTCTAGAGCTTTCTGGAAAGACGCGTGTTCAGGAAAGTGACGAGTGTTGGCAGAGCGACTCGGGCGGCCAGGCTGAGAACCGCGGGCACTGCCACAGGGAGCGACCACGCAGGGCGGAGGCATGCTGACGAAACTACGCAAAGAACGGAAACTGCACGACCCAAACCTCTTCTGAGCTCGGGCCCGGGAGAGCATCGAGACTCACGTTAAACTGCACATTTTCACATACAGTTCCTAGTTCTGGTAGAGGAGGACGGGAAGGAAATGAACACTTGTTCCTGTCTGCTGGGACCAGGCTGGCTGTTCTTTTTAACACCTCCAATCTCCGAGGTAAAAGATGTGGGGCTCCCACTATCCCTTTTTACTGATGTGTTTCTGGAAACAGGCCTGCGAGCGAGGTCACGTAGCTGCTCACAACCCACCAGCTAACCAGTGTGGGGGTGGGCTGTCTGACGCTTCCCACTTGCGCAATGGCCTTCGAGAGCCGTCCCCTCTCCCAAACAGAGGGCGTCTCACCTGTAATCAGTCACTACAGCTCCCCAGGCCACTAACGCAGCGATTCTCGATTCTCGACTCTCGGGAGGGGTGGAGGAGGAACGCCTGCAGTGACAGCTCCTCAGGCGATTCTGATACCCCTGCCCCCCACCGCCCCACCTAGAACCCAGTCCTCGATGCACAGAAGATGCCCAGGTGGCCAAGGGCCTTCAAGAAAACAAGGGTGTGGGCGAGGTAGCACCGCGGCCCTGAGGCCCACTCTCAGGCCCAAGCCCTTTCTGCTGTTCCCATGCGCCGCCTCCCCCACCGTTAACATTCGTTTACGGGCCAAACAAGGTTCTGGTTCAAAGCCATTCGGAACATGAGTGTGGTTGCAAAGTACGAATGTTACGCAGACATACAATATTCATCAGAAAGGTGAACAGCACCAGTTTATGCTTTAAAGAGCAAAGTGTGAATGAAAGTGTACGAATCATCCCTATTCTGCAAAACCATGTGATCCATGTGGTTACACAGTTTAACAACTATAAACAGTAAAAGGAACGAGCACTCACCTGAAGCCGTAGCAAGGCAGAGCGAAGAGCCTGGAGAGAGCCAGGAAGACCCTCAGGGGCAGCAGGGTGAGCACGTACAGAAACGCATCCAGGCACAGAAAGATGCCGAAGACCATGAGCTGGATGTTCAAAGGAGAGAAGAAAACAAAACGTAAACATTCTTTAAATATTTGTAGACGAAAAATTTAAAGAAGGGATTGCCAAATTTTGTATGAAATTCATTTCACATTGGTTAGACATGGGAAAAACAAGTAATAGTTCTCCTTGTGTACATACTCCATACTTCAATGAAAAAAATCCTTTTTCAAAGTGCAAGTCTGTGCTTCTTCCAGAGCCTTTGCTTTTGCACCTACAGAAGGTCAGTGGCTCAAAAGGCAAGTTGCCCTTGACCACAGCCACCAAAGATCTGATGTGGCTTTCTAAGTACTTTCTCAAACTTTAAAGATATTGTAGACAATTTTTAGGTAAAACTTTTTAACTCTAGCTTCACTCCACATCCTTCCCATTTCTGTAGCAATATACATTTTTACTCTTTAAATGTGGGAGTATATTTCATAGGAGGGTGGAGTCTTTGATGATTGGAGAAGTGGCCACACCCAGACTGCCCAGCCTGGCCACTGTAAGTGCCATGACTTCCTGTGTGTCAAACACACGACACCGCACACTCTCTGCCCTCACACAGAACACTTCATGCATCTCTTGTCAACACACTGTCCTACATACATACATGAGATAGTTTAAATCCACACTGTTGGCACAGAATTGCATGTCCTGCCTCAGGTTTGTAAGTTGAAGTCCTAATGCCCAGGACCTCAGAATGACTGTCTTTGGAGATGGGGTCTTTGCTGAGATCACTGCGTTAAAACGAGTTCATCAGAGCAGGCGCGGATCCAGGATGCCCGGTGTCCTCATGAGAAGAGAAAACCTGGACGCCGAAGTGGACGGAGGGAGGAGGAGGCAAAGACCCAGGGCGGAGACAGCTGGCTGCAGGCCGCTGCGGTCCCACGCGGCCCGGCCGGTGCTCTGCCACCGCCGCCCTCGCAGACTACAGCACAACCCTGAAGAGAAAGGACGCGTTTCATCGACGTCTCTTTGCCTCAAGTGTTTCTCATCTACAACCACATACAACTTTTTTACGACAAGCGAGACTCATGAAGCACATAGAAAGTACAAGGCTAAACTCCTGTTGGTGCTCAGACTACGCATCCTGTCCCCGACAGTCAGCATGGCCATCCAGTCTGCCGCCAGCGCGGCCAGAGCTCTGCACAGCCCCTTGTTCACACACTTGCAGGAGACTAATGAGCACCGTCCACTGACAGCGGGGGGTCGCTATTCACTGCTGCTGGTCCCTGTCACCGCGAAGCCCCTCTGTTTCACGGTGTGTGCACTAGGAAGCAGCGTGCTGGGAGGGAGAGCAGGTCGATGTCTTTCTGGTGACCTGACACATGGAGACGAAGATGTTATTTGGTCACCAACATCCACTCGGTTGCTCATAGGACCCAAGTCACAGGCCCAGCCCACGGGGGTGGGTTCCTGCCCTCAGCAAGCTTATTCAAACTTCAGCAGAGACGCCGGCACACAGACGGAGCAGGCCAAGGCAGCAGTGACGGTGCTGTGACAGAACAAACGACATAGGGACAAACGGCGGAGCCCTGGGCAGAAAGTGGCCAACTCAGCCAGGAGACGCAGGGGAGCTCCCTACTAGAGGAGACCCTTAAAAACATCTGAGAAGGTGAGGACCACTGCCACACGGAGGGGGCGGCCCGGGTGGGGGATGGGGAAGGAGACTCTCCACGAGAGGGAGCGAGAGCAAGAGCTCAGAGGAAAGTGATGGTGAAGACACCCTCTTCCTGCGGAGTAGAAGCACGGCCGCCTGTCCTCGGCTTAGAGGGATTCACGATAGCACTGTTTATGGTAAGCAGCATCATTACAGGCCCTTCCCCTTACTTTTAAGCCAGCCCGGTGGGCCCAGTGGGCAAGCGGTCACCCTCCCACACTGTTTGCTGACCACGTACCAGACCACCGGGGGTGGTCAGCACTACAGACCTCAGTGTTAACATGGAAGGGACACGGGGACTGAGACGTCGAGAAACCGCCCTGGGGGGGAGAAACCACCTGTGCCTGTGAGGACACAGGAGACACAGCACCAGAAACGCCCCCAGGCTTTGGGGCTGCGGGGAGGGGACCAACGACCGTGCCTGTGTGTCACCCTTCTCACACGGAACTGTGTTCTTCTAAATTCCACAAACGAAAATACGAAAACTTCCTGAAAAAGTAGGACCCAATGCACTCCTGCGAACATCCGCCATCCTGGAAGGAGGTGAAGAACCTGGTGCTGGGGGTGGGCCCGGCACAGGTGGGTGTCCCCCTGGTGCGTCTCACACACACGGCGACCCAGGGCTGCGCAGAGAACGGCCCCCTGCTTGTGGCCCCCCGCTCTCCCCGGTGGTCGGCACCCCCCACCCAACGCTAGCGGAGACCTCGGCTCCGGAGGCTGAGGCCTGCCCAGGACCCTGCCCACTGTTTTACAAGGTAGGGGTGAACACGATCTCCTCTGTGCTGACTTGTCTTGTGTCAGTTTGCCTAATGTCATAAAAATGCAGAAATAATAAGCATTTAATGACTCAAACTTAGAAAAGGCATGAGATTTTCACATACTAATATTTATTGCTAGCTTTGAAAATGTGTTATTAAAATTAAAAGCTGTGAGTACACATTACTAATGGGGTTAATGTGTACTTTTGCACTGCTGGCTAATTTGCATGGCACCTTGATAAAACAGGCAATTACTATTTCCTTTTTATTTGGACGAAATCATAAAGTTCCCAAGCAGTCATAAGTAACATCTGACGAAGTTCCCCGAAGTCTGCAAGGCGTGACGAGGAAGGAAGAAAGTGGTGCCACATGCCACTCTGTCTCCCTTTTGAGAAACACAGAAACCTCCTGTCCTCCTTCAAGTGACACGTGGAATTTCACAATAAAGAGAGCGGTGTGGTTAAAACAAAAGCAGCACAAGGCTTTTGGAATCTGTCCCATTAGCTGACAAGGCCTGGCACCGAGGGTCCCGCCACCCTCTGGGCCCGCTGCCCCATCCCCCTCCAGGACCCGGCCGCCACCCCAGCCCCACCTCCTTTGTGCACCCTCGGAACCTGGGCCTCGCTCGACGGGAATCTCGCTCTTACGGGGGAGGCCGTATAATGCAACGCCAACCCTGTAAACTGGCCATTACGTAAACAACAGAAAGCAGAAACCCTAACTGTGGCAAAGAACCAAAGTGTAACGCAAACACCTGAAGAAGAAATTGTACACCAGCGTTCTGGGCGTTTTCCATTTTCCTGAGAACAAAAGGCCAAACGCTACACAAGGCTTTGTGTGAAAACTCTCCAAGACTAACACTCTTTCTCCAATTTGTTCCTCCTTTTCTCTCAAACATGTAGTGTACGGCTCTAAAGTGGCAGAGACAGCTGAATAAAATATATACTCACTGTTTTAAGAAGATCAGCTAAAGTCTTGCAAAGCAGCTTCACACCAGAAGAAGAGGATCCAAGTTCTGACCACAACCCACAGTTCGAAATACACTTCACACTGCAACTCACTAGATACACACCTGTACACACTCAATCCCCCCAAAAGTTTCGCTAAATTAATACCAACTTTTACTCCATAAAATGCAGGCTGATATTTTCTATTTCCTTCTTCTCATCGCATTCACGACCCGCCGAAGGGTGAGGATGCACTGTGTGAAGGCAGGGCCCGGGGCAGGCAGGCAGGCCTGTGGGGTCCCGTTTTGCCCAGGGGCGGCCCCCACAGGCAGTGAGAACCCCGCACAGGGCTCTACGAGGGGCTGTGCAGAACTCGCCTGCCTTGGAAGCAGCGGGAAGGTCTTTGTATGGAAATGCATGAAAACTGTGGAGTTACAAATTACAGCTATTCAATTGAAAACTCCTTTTCAGAGCAGAAATTTATAACAGTTTACATGAAAAACTAATTATTTAAAAATAACCCTCTGCTTAATTAATAAGGCAGTTCTTGAGATTCTTCTTGGAATAAAAAAAAGTGTAAGTGGAAACCAAGGGCAGAAATGTTCACTGGCCTTTCTTCTCATGGGGAACTCGTCTGGAAGGGCTTGAGAAGGAGTCTTCCGCAGGTGCTGGGCACTCGGCCGCGCTCTGGCCACTGCGGCACGTGGGCCTGTGGGCACGGCCTCAGGCCACCGTCACCTCCACGCTGCAGAGACTCAGAGACTCAAGTTCATAAGAAGAAGCAGGGCCAGATTTCGGTGGGTCTGCAAAAGGCACAGCTTTGAAACCGAAGCCCTTTTCTACTGAGGACACCTCCCGCTCACCCTTCCGGCCTCAATTCCCGCCACTGGACTTGGCACCGTGTGTATTTAAAAACAACAACAAGGTAGCAAAGTTTTTAACATCTGAATTTCAGTGTTAAGTACAAAATTGCAATAATTCTGCAACCCTGTAAGTCAACAAAAGATTATGTGCCAGTAAAAATGACCACAAGTGACTCTTGCCACATTCCCTTTGACCTACTATTGCTCCTCCAAAGAAATAAATAAAAATGCCAGCCTCTCTCTCTGAAAAGTGGAGAAGGTTTCTTAACTTCTAAAGAATCTATGTTTACTTTTTCACAAAAATCTCCAGCCCTCCTTTTAATGCCCTTTCAAATTTCAAAATAAAACCACGCTATGGTTAAAAAACTGAGACAGTACAATGGTTCTGCAACAGGCCTCCTGGCGTTCACTCTCTGGCAGTTCCGAACACCATCTTGCCACCAGAGCACCAAACGCTGCCGGCCAGTCGAGGACCTACTGTCCGGAACCGCTGGTCTGGAAGGCCAGCTGGGCAGGGGCGGCAAAGCAGGAAGGGGCACTGCTGGTCCTCCCCCTGGGGTCGCTTTCTGTAAAGCCCTGGGTCCAGTGCTGTAAGAGCAGAGAGCGTGTCTTGCTCAGTCCTACGATGAGAGGACAAAGGTTTTGGGGATGGACACCTTTCCCGGATGTGGTGGAGGGGGGTGTGCGTGGGCAGGGGGCGGGGGTAGGGTCCCCACGGGGGGATGGCTCTTTCCAGGTGAGGAGGAACAGAACTCCAAACACAGAGAAGAGCGT